CAACACACAGGCCCCATTTAAGTCAGTTCTGCTGATATTAATAAAATGCAATATTTACCTGATTTTTACCCATATGACAGCACTTTTAATGAGCAATTATAGTCCAGGAATTTAACTACAAAAATGCATATCAACAGAAGACTATTATATTTACTGCTTTTTTCCTTTTGGCTCCCACTCACGGGCCATGTAAATACAAACTCCATCTTGGGCCGCAAACAAATGGGCCATGGGCTAGGGATGTTAAAGACTAGTCAACTCTCCAATAAGCAAATGCTTATCAGATAGTCAGTCGACTAGTCAATTCTCTCCCCCTCCCTCTTGCTGCCTCTATCAGATAGAGGCAGCAAAAGGGGAGGAAAAGGGGTACTTGAAAGTGGCAGCACCACATAGCTGAGCCCGGGCTTAGCAGTGCAGCATGGCGCACAGGGTCAGCTGGGTTCTCCAGCTGATCCCGAGTTCCAGGGAAATGTTGCACTGGAACCCAGAATCAGCTGGGCAGTCCCCAGTTAACTCTGGCTCCAGCGTGGAGTCCGGGGTCATAGCTGGCACCCGCGAGCAGCCGAGTCAAAAGGACTTCCTGCTGGCCCTGGGCTGCATGCAGAAGTGCCTATCAAGTAGTCAATGGAAATACCATCAACTACTCGATGAGTCAATTAACTGCTAGTTAGCATCCTGACTGCAGACCGTGTGTTGAGTAGCCCTGGTCTAGATCAACCCTGATATAGACTTTTATCTAACCTACTCTTAGATATCTCCACAGATGGGGATTCCACAACCTCCCTGGGCAATTTATTCCAGTGTTTGACTGCCCTGACAGTTAGGAACTTTTCCCTAATGTCCACCCTAAACCTCCCTTGCTGCAGTTTAAGCCCATTGCTTCTTGTCCTGTCCTCAGAGGCCAAGATGAACAATTTTTCTCCCTCCTCCATGTAAAGACCTTTTAGATACTTGAAAGCCGCTCTCATGTCCCCCCTCAGTCTTCTCTTTTCTAAACTAAATAAGCCCAATTCTCTCAGCCTTCCCTCATAGCTCATGTTCTCTAGACCTTTAATCATTCTTGTTGTTCTTCTCTGGACCTTCTCCAATTTCTTCACATCTGTCCTGAAATGTGGTGCCCAGAACTGGACACAATACTCCAACTGAGGCCTAACCAGCGCAGAGTAGAGTGGAAGAATGACTTCTCGTGTCTTGCTCACAACACTCCTGTTAACGCAGCCCAGAATCACGTTTGCTTTTTTTGCAACAGCGTCACACTGTTGGTTCCTATTTAGCTTGTGGTCCACTCTGCCCCCTAGATCCCTTTCTGCAGTACTCCTGCCTAGACAGTCACTTCCCATGCTGTATGTGAAACTTCACATTTATGTGGAAAGTAAAATTATCCCCATTTTACAGATCTAGGCTAGGTATAAACTACAAAGAAAAGTCAGAAAAAGATACGCAAATTGTGAACCGTAATTTGCATTAACTTTTTCTGCTTTTCTTTTGAAAGAAGCTTTTCTGAAATTTGGCCCATTTACATAGGACCAGACTTCAGACAAACCTCTTTCAACACATCCCTGCTTCCAGTTTTTCCGAAATTGTTCCAAAAAAGCGGATGCGTTCTCTGGACATGGCAAAGATTTTTCTGGGAGGCATCCTAGAAAATCTCTGCAGTCTAGACATAGTCATAAATATTGTATCACAGAGAAATAATTGTATTTGTCTAGTTTATTGATAAGCAGATCATGCTAGACCGTATCAAATGCCTTACTAAAGTCAAGGTATACCACGTCCACCTCTTCTCCCTTATCCACCGGACTCGTTATCAGATTGGTTTGACATGATTTGTTCTCTACAAATCCATGCTGGCTGTTACCTATCACCCTATTATCATCCAGGTGTTTGCAAATGAATTCCTTAATTACTTGCTCCATTATCTTTCCTGGGACAAAAGTTAAACTGACTGGTCTGTAGTTTCCTGGGTTGTTCTTATTTCCCTTTTTATAAATGGGCTCCATCTTCCATGATTTTTCAAAGATGACAGCTAAAGGCTCAGATATCTCCTCTACTACCCACTTGAATATTCTAGGCCCTGGTGATTTGCCAACATCTAACTTTTCTAAGTAATTTTTATTTTATTTTATCTTATCTTATCTTCTAAACCTACCCCCTTCCCACTAGCATTCACTATGTTAGGCATTCCTTCATCATCAGACTTCTTGGTGAAGACCGAAACAAAGAAGTCATTAAGCACCTCTACCATTTCCAAGTTTCCTGTTATTGATTCTCCCTCCGCACTGAGCAATGGGCCTACCCTGTTCTTGGTCTTCCTCTTTCTTCTAATATATTTATATAAAGTCTTATTGTTTCCCTTTATGTGTGTAGCTAGATTGAGCTCGTTCTGTGCCTTTGCCTTTTTAATGTTGCCCCTGCATACCTGTATTTATCTACACCGAATCTACTTTGAAGTGCTGCAGTAGTGCAGCAGGCTCAGATGTGCCATTGTAATGTGTTGTGTTAGACCAGCCCTAAGCTTTTTTCTCTACTATATATTTGCAAGAGTTTGTGTCCATCCGTCTGTTTGTTCAAGAACTTCTAAACGATAAGAGCTAGGAACACCAAATTTGGTATGCAGCATCCTCTTACCACAACTTGAAGCAAGGTCAGGATTTGGTTGTGCCAAAACAATTGGCTGTGCCTGGAATGTGATTGTTTCTCATCAGGGGGGAGTGTGATAGCAGGGACAGTTATACCCCTGAATGACCAGGAGGGCAGCAAGCACCCCAGCCCCAGGGAACAACCACTGGCTAAGCAATGCAGTCCCCTACTGACCTGGCCCAGCTGCCTCCACTCCCTCCCCTGAATCCCCCACACACCTCCCAAACCCCTGCCCTGAAGGACCCAAGCAGCATCTCTTAAATCTTCTAGTACTTAATATTAGAATAAAGCTGCTTGCCTAACTGCATTGTCACTAGAAGATCTTGCTAGTATTATTATGCTGGGAAAACCTTTGGGCTATGATTACACTGCAGGCTTCTTGCGCGAGAATGGTAGTTCTTGTGCAAAAACTTGCGAAGCGTCTACACTGCACGCGTGTTCTTGCGCACATATATTTACACTAAAGCATCAAAACGGAGGGCTTCTTGCTCAAGAGTTATTCCTCTCCCCACGAGGAATAAACCGTCTTGCGCAAGAAGGCAGTGTGAACGGGCAACAGGGGTTTCTTGCGCAAGAAACCCCTATGGCTAAAACGGCCATCAGAGCTTTCGTGCGCAAGAGCGTCCACTCTGCCATGGATGCTCTTGAGCAAAAGCATGTGGCACTGTGGACGCACTCTTGTGCAAGACAGTTCTTTTGCAAGAAGCCTGCAGTGTAGACATAGCCTCGTAGTGTAAAGACAGCATAAAAGCTTGCCTGCTAAAGTCTGTGAGCCCGAAGAAGGTATCTGTAGCTAATGGCCTTTCCAACAGTTTCCTCCCTCTGGATCTGTAGTTCTGTCTTAGCCACTAAATCAGGAGTGGGCAATAATTTTTGAAAGAGAGCCACTTCACAAATTTCAGAAGTGTCTGCAGGCTGACCCGGAAGGGGCGGGCATGTGCTGTGAAAAGATGTCAATATGTTTTTTATGCAACAAAGTACCATAATAAAATATAACAATAATTAACTGCATACAGCATTATCCAAAGATTATCATAGAAGGCAACATTTGTAAAATTTGTAATAACACTAAGATTTTGAGAACACTTGTAACATTTGTAATAACTACAACGCTAACATTAAACATAGGGTACTGAAAATTAATACTTACTCCTGTCATGAGTGTAGGAGACTAAACTAAATGACTTAGAGGCCCCTTCCAGACCTATGACTCCATGAAATAGTATCAAAGTCCCTCTTGTTAGTCTTTAAAGTGCTACATAGTCCTGTATTTTGTTTCAGCTACACCAGACTAACACAGCTACATCTCTATCACTATCAAAGTCCCTGTTTTTCCTCCCACACTAAGTATATTCAGTTAGGTTTTATGGGTTACAAATGATTCCCCACACTTGACTATAATAATGGCATCTAGATATTTTTATCACAACCAGTTATAAAAAAAATCGTTAGTTATTGGGCAATTCAAAGGGATCCTGTGTCTCCCACAACACACTAGAGATGTGGGGAGCTGTGAACCCTTTCAGCTGTTTCTGTTAAAAGGGCTCTTGTGTTCTCCAGGTTGCTAGGCAAGCCTTGCCTGATAGGCACTGGGAAGGGGCCAGCCCTTTAAATAGAAAGGCTATGTCTACAATGGCATGATCTTGCGCAAATACTCTTTAATGCGAGAGTTCTTGCGTTAAAGTATTTGCGTAAGAAAGCATCTATACTGGCATGTGCCTTTGTGCAAGAGATGTGCACCAGTGTAGACGCTTTCTTGCGCAAGAAATTAACATTGCCTGTCTACACTGGCCTCTTGCTCAAGAACACTTGCACAAGAGGGCTTATTCCTGAGTGGGAGCATCATAGTTCTTGTGCAAGAAGCACTGATTTCACATATTAGAACATCAGTGTTTTTGCACAAGAACTCCCCCCAGTGTAGACAGGCAGCATGTTTTTGTGCAAAAGTGGCCGCTTTGGCACAAGATCGCGCCAATGTAGACACAGCCAAAGACTTAAAAGGGCTTGCAGTGCTCCCAGCGTCTAATGCAGTTGCTAGGGAGTCAGACTCAAGCCCTTTTAAGTGCTTCTATTTAAAAGGCTTATTGCCCTCCCTGCACCTGGCAGGCAATGCTTGCCTAGCAGTCCTGGGGAACAGGAAAGCCCTTTAAATAGACACAGCTGGCATCTCCTGCAACATGCTAGAGGAGCTGAGAGCTGCCAGCCCACTCAGCTGTTTCTATTTAAAGGGCTCTCCTGTACCCCACAGCTACTAGGCAACCGGGTGCCTGACAGGTGGGGGAAGGGGCCAGCCCTTGAAATAGAAACAGCTGAAAGGGCTCACAGCTCCCCTTGCCTCTGCCAGCCCTTTCCACTGTTTCTGTTTAAAGGGCTTGAGCCTTCCCGGTTGCTGCAAGGCAAAGCATTGGCTAGCAGCCCCAGGGAAAAGGAGAGCACTTGAAATAGAAACAGCAATAAGGGCTTGCAGCTCCCCTGTCTCTAGCACATAGCAGGGGACTGTGATCCCTTTCAGCTGTTTCTGGTTAAAGAGCTGGCCCCTCCTCCAGCAAGGGGAGGAACAGGAGAGCCCTTTAAATAGAAACAGTTGAGAAGGCTCCGGCTCCCACATCTCTAGCAGGTTGCTAGGGAGACAGAGAAGCCAGCCCATTCAACTGTTTTCATTTAAGGGGCTTGGGCCTTCCCCTCCCCTGCTACCCAAGGCTGGGGAAGACGGCAGCCCTTTAAATAGAAGCAGTTAGAAGGGCTCTGGCCTCTCTCCCGCTTTGAGGCAATGAGCTAGGGGGCAGAGCCTGAAACGCCCTTGTGTGCTGGATCAAAGCCCTAGGCAGGCCGGATCTGGCCCTCTGAAAGGCTTTTGCCCACCCCTGCACTAAATGAGATTGTATGCTGGTCTGTGCACCATATTGTCTTGTTAGGTCTTTAAGACATTAACGTGAATTCTTTCTGGGGGTGTCTCAGAATGCGTCATGTGGCTGCTTACCTGCTTGCAGTCCTGGGTGGCAACAGTAGCCCTACAGCCAGGAACATCAAGAAGATCCTCGACAGCGTTGGTATTGATGCAGATGATGAACGTGTCAACAAGGTTGGTTTCTTTGCATTAGTCTGTCTCTTGCCTTCTGAAGTAGTTCCAGGAGCACTCTGCGGCTCCAGGGCTATACAAAATAGGACAGCCTTGTGGTTTAATTGTGTAAACGGGCTTGACACACTGCTTTCTTGTTTGCTTTGGGGCACCTAAGAGTTCTTACAACTTGCCAGTTGGAAGTGCGTTGGTATTTAATACAAACTGTGGCACTTGAGTGCAAAGTGCTGCCATGGCAGGGAGCAAAGCTCAGGCCCTGATCTTCCCAGACTGTTGGATGTGGACAGTCCTGTGAAGATGGTCTGGGTTATTGGAGGCATTTTGGCTTAGAGATCACTCTTGTGTCCGGACAGCAGCAGGAGAGAGAGAAACACCCTGCAATGTGGCATTTCGAGACTTGGGGGCTGGGAGGAAAGCCAGAAAAATCTGACAACTGTTTCTTCTCACTGTACTTGTCGCTCTATACAATCTCTGTCAGTAACAGAGGACATAAATCTGTCTGCAAATGTTGGGATTTAGGGGTTTCACCTTTTGTCTGCTCTAAAAGCTTTAATATTGATCGTCAGCTGCTTGGTTGTTCTGTTGCTATCTACTCTGACTGGGAAGAGGAGTAAGGAGAGGATGTGGGGGGAGAGAGGGTTCTACAAATATAAGTGTCTGCCTGTAGATAAAGATCAGCATGTGATGTAACTTTTCTTAGCTGTGCAAGATGGGTATGGCGACTGGAAAACAACCCACGTCAGAGCAAGTTGGCAGCAAATTTGTGTTGCGGCCCTTAACCACTTTGAAGCAAGGGACACTAACTCCTGGCAAGTTCTAGAAGCCTGCAGTTGTTATGGACAATTTGCCTGTCCCATGTGTAACTCTGTGTGTGGTTCTCACATTGGTCTGACCTTGCTTATACATATTCCCTTGTATTTGCTGAGTCCTTCTACATCGCCATCCGTGAGAGACTCTGTCCATGTTCGTTTACTTGTAGTGCCTAGTGGGGGGGTGGGCAGCAATTTTTGATGGAGGGGCCACTCCAGGAATTTGGTAAGTGGTCAAGGGCTGCACTCTTCCATGATATCAATGGTGGCGGTGCGAAGTCTGAGATGGAGGCTGGGTGCAGAAGGGAGCTTGGGGTAGGGGTTGGGCTCTGCGAGGGAGTTTGGGTGAAGGCGGGGTTGTGACCTGGAGGGAGGACTGGGATGCTGGGCCCAGGAGTGGGTAAGGATACAGGGCAGGATTCTGACCTGGAGGGGTGTAAAAGGGAGTGCAGCATCTGGGAGGGGGTTGTGACTTGGGGAGCCTGCAAGTGGGTATAGGAGCAGGGGTGCAGAGGGTTGTAGGGAGGGTGAAGTTGGGGTGCCAAGTATCAGCTCTGGCTGGGACCGGCTTATCTTAGGCAGCTCCCAGCTAGCAGCCCAGTGGGAACCTGAGACAGGCTCTATGCCTGTCTGCTGGGCCAAGGTAGTAGCAGGCCAGATCCAGCCCGTGAGCCAAATTTTGCCAGCTGAAACGCAGTCCCCACTGTAATAGGTGCTGTATCATGTGGGTGCTGTTCTGAGAAACATGGAATGGGAGAACAGAAATGAAAAGGGAACAGAAGGACGGAAAAACTTGTTCAAGGTTACTGTATAGTCAGAGCAGAGCCAGGAACAGAGTCCAGTTTCCTACCTCACTGCACGGTTGTGTTCTCAAGTAACTTGAAGCAATTGTAGGTTATGAGAAATTTGGCATAAAGGAATAATTCAGTGCTTAGATTTCTGGTCAACTTTTTTAGTGTTAAATTTTTAAAAGCCTGATGAGTTCAATGACACCTGATACGGGAACACAGGATAAAAACATGTTGAGCAAGTAAGTGTGCAGGGATTCGTTACTGCACTTAGTTATTACTCCTAAGACAAGAACATGTTGTACTAGAAGTCTGTCTGTCTTTTTTTAAACTGTTGGTGAACACTTTAATTTGTCTGGTCATTCGTTAAGAGATCTTCAAGTTGCTGTTTTGTTACAGACCAATTCCACAAGCCAAATACACAGGGAAGGGTTGGAACTACAGTTCATTCACAAGTTTAATTCTCATGCCAATGGTTTGAATCAAGATACCGGATGGCTGGGACATTATCAACCAACCAATGAAGGTGCCAATGGTTCTTTGTCTGTGTAGATTCTGGTGTTAGTACTCTTCCTCTCTCAATGCTAACTAATGGTCCTTATCTGCTTCTTCTAGCTATCCAGTTTTTAGGTGCTTATAGATTATCAGTTTTGCCTGTTACATACTAGCTCAGTTTTCCCTTTGATATTTATATACCCACCGCCTCCTTTTGTTTCTCCCCTCCCCTCTCCCCTTCTTCCCTATTCATTTTGGTTCTGGACATACAACTCTCTGGTCATCTGTAGAGGATTGTGCCCGCAAAAGTTCATGATACCAGCTACATGTTTTGTTAGTCTTTAAAGTGCTGCTAGACTATTTGTTGTTTTTTAAGTTTATCCTGTACAGACTAACTTGGCTCCCCTTTTGAAGCTTTCTTTTTAAAGCCACTTCCTTACTTGCATGTGTTTCAAATTTTGAATCTGGTTTGTTCTTCACTGTTTGTGCTGTGTAATTATCTTTAGCACTGGTCCATGTCAGTTTCCAGTGCTGCAGTGTTTACCCTGACATATCTGCAACCCAGTGGTCTTTATTCTGACAACTGTTCTGTTTCGATCGTTGTTAAATTTTATGCTCATATCACTGAGAGTAGTTGATCTTGTAAACTTTCTTTAAAATCTCTCTTTGCCTCTAAGCTACTGTTTGTCCCTTTGACTCCTCAGTACATTGTTTAATTTTTCTGTTCTGCATCCCAGTGCTGGTAATGAATATGCCAGAGAAATTGCCTGTGTCAAGAGCCTAAACATATCGAACACCCACAACTCCAGTATTGAGCTTTAACCTCTCTTTCTCTCTCGTAATAAAGGTCATCAGTGAACTGAATGGCAAAGATGTTGATGATGTTGTTAACTCAGGTAAAAACTGATGATATTTTAAGAACTCAGTTGTTGCAGAACTGAAGTGGAGCACTCAGTCCGTTTGCATATCTGTGGATTGATCTATAAGGGAAATGTTGGGTTTCATATTTGCTTAACTGAAGCAAACATCAGCAAAAATACTGATTTGCTGAGAAGTATCTCCAGAAGGATTATCTGTTACAAACTTAATAAAATACAATAGGTGTCTGTCCTGGCAGCTCAGTCGGTCTGAAAGCAGGTTTGATTGTTAAAGAGTTTATAGATTCTTGCATTAAACCAGGAGATGAGCTTAAATCAACTCTGACTTCAATTTATTTGAAGTAGAAATTGGATATTTCTCTATTTTATCCTTTCAAATGGAAAAAAGCTCCCCTGGTGCCTATGGAAAACCACAGGACTATAACTAGAGCATGTTTGATTAAGGTGACTACATTACTTCATAATACTAATTTTGAATCACTTTTCATTTCAGTTAAATTACAGGTCCACGATGGGCTATCAAATTCAAACATATATCCCCAACAGATTACAGTGCCACTTTTTTTCAGTTACATTTTCCTGCTCTTATGAAAATGCACGTTTGTGTAAGCATTAACATACAGTTGCCACCAAGATTCTGTTCTAGATTGAGCATGGGTTGAGATTCAGGAACTCCTGAGTTCCAATGTAGCCTGTGACACTGTTTCTGTGACAAGTCACCTCATATTTTTGAATGTTTCCCTATCTCAAATGTGGAAAATGCCTACCTCAGTAGGTGGGGACCTGTTTAGTGGATTAATTAGTCAGTGTTAGTAAAGTTTGAAGACCGGTGTTAAATGCTGAGTGCTCATTCCTTTTAGGTTCTGTGCTGCATTATAATGACCATTGATTTTCATCTCCTGTGATGCCTTTCAGAAAGATTAAAATTCAGGTCTTCATTGCCTGTGGATATTTTTTTCCTTTGCAGTTTAACTTGTATAATTCAGAGCCGTGCTCTAAATTCTGAAACTGTGGTTTTGAGCTCAGGAATAAATTAACTGCAAAGTTGAAAATCCAGTTTCATTTTGGTGCATTAGTTTTCAGCCTAACTTTCATTCTGCACACCAAATAATTTCCCACTACAAATGAGACACTTCAAGATTAGTGCTCACTTTTTTAACTTTCCTCTAATATGAGCAAAGAAGTGATTTGAAATAACTGAACTTCAAAATGAGCAAGTTCTCTTAATTTTGTACTATGCTAATTCTTTTACTGCATTACACATCTAGTGCAGCTGCTTGTGGATTTTCTGTTTGGGCATCATTTATCTGTGTGCGCATTTCAGAGTGGTTGCCTTCATGGCTCTACTAAATACGGGAGACAAAGTTAACAATTATTTCATTCATCTCAAGAGCTCTCCCATACAGTGCTGTCTTGCTCCAGGTGTGCACTTGTGCGCTGCGTGTGAAATGTTGCCCTTTTATGGGACATCATAACAGGCAAGCTAAATCTCTTTAGAGAGGTTACCGAAGTACAGAACATTCTGCTTAACTTTGAGAGCTCTTAGAATGGGGCCGTGCGGGTGTTATTTACAAGTCTCTCATTTCATAGGCCTCTCCAAACTAGCCTGTGTTCCAGCAGACGGTGCTCTTGCTGCTGCCCCTGCTGCTACTCCAGCTGCTGGTGGAGATGCACCTGCAGGTAGGCCTCATTTTTGAGGGAGGGGAATTCCTGGGTTGTGTGTGAGATTAAGAACGTTGCTCTCGTTATCCAGTAGCAGAAAATCCCATGAATCTGACCTGAAGCATGAGCCTTCATAGCATTCCTAACTGTAGGATTTGCTATTGTCGGTTTAAATGTAGAACTACTATTTTTAATGTACACAGAGCAAAACTTGTAAACTAAGATTACACTGGGAGATCTCTCACAGGAGTGACTTCACTTCAGCATAACATGTTGGGGGCTGAGGACTGTATTTTCAGAAGCTGTTTGGGAGCAAGGCTCAGATATCCCATTCAGTGTCAGTGGGATTTGTGCACCTGTGTCTTACAGCACTGTTGAAAGTCACCTCTGTTTACACAAAATATGCGGGCTGCCCAAATCTTATTTCCCTAGTGGTGTAACTATTGCCTTAAAATGTAACTTTTATTGCCCCCAAGTGTTGGGAGGGAAAGGGTTGTTTAAATTCATACATACTACATTTGTCACTGTGTGCATACAACATTCATTAGTCAAACACAAAATTTAACACTAGAAGGGTCCAGAATTCCATCTCTTAGCATGGGGTGGGCAAAAGGGCCTCTACAGGCCAGATCCGTCCCGCCAAGTGGGTTGATCCATCCTGCAGAGGCCCTGCTGCTTCTCCTGCCCCCAGGCTTGCGAGGAGTTTCTTCCACCCTCCCCCCCACCCTGCAAGGAGCACATGGCACTTCAAAGTGCTGTACACTGGCGCAGGGCAGGGCAAAGGAAGCATCGTGCAGCTCCCCTGCCCCCAGGCCCTGATTGGCCTGGGGCGGGGGGAGTGTGCAAAGCCTCCTTCTGCCCTGCCAGGGGCATGGGTGCCGAGGGGGAAAGGGTCCCCCGCCCCCCGAATAATTCTAGTCTGGGGATGGGGAAGCCCAGCAGCATCCTGGCCCTGCTCCTTCCGGGGCGGCCCAGGGCCACTTCAAAAATTTTTGGCCCTGGCCAAAAATTATTGCCAACCCCTGTCTTGGCAGGAGCTCTTGGACTTGCAAATATTAATTTACACCTTCTTTGACTTCCAGAAGAGAAGAAAGAGGAAGAGAAAAAGGAAGAATCTGAGGAGTCTGACGAGGACATGGGATTTGGACTCTTTGATTAAACACTTGTTGCGTTCTGGAAAAACAATAAAAATAGCAAACCCCAGCCTTCTTTGCTATACAGACTTAATTTACATACTGAAGCTAGATGGGTATTTCCTCCAGAAATTCTTGAGGATGCCTAATTCCTTGGCTTCTCTGAAAATTTCAGCTTCTCTTCTTCCTGGAAGGATTAACTGTTAGTGAGGGACAGGGAGCCCAGGCCCCTAAGGTCTAATCCCAGCTTTCATTCTGATGTATCAATCTCAGTGAAATCTACTAAAAGGGGTTGCAGAAATGTGTTTACGGCATTGCAATATTTAGTTACCAAGAGTATAAAGCTGTATGGGACAAAGGTTTTTGTGTCCTTACATATGCATACTCGAGCAACGAGGGACAGGCTGACTTACGGGACAGCTAAACACCAAGTAAGAAGATCTGTGTCTTTGCTTCTTTCACTGCTGTGAGACCTTGGTTGTGAAACGTAACTGCTCTCTCGGCTCCTCTTTGCCCATCTGTAAAATGGGAATAGTACTTCACAGGTGTGGTGGGATTCATTTTATAGAGCACATTCATATCCTTGGATGAAAGGCAAGTAACAGATGGGACTCTAGTAAAGGCAACTTCCACAACTGGGCAAGTATGCTTCACTTGACTCAGTGCAGTAAACACACATGCAGTTCAGTACTGGGGCACTGCATATATTTAATAAATATCCATGCATTGCTTTCCAGCTTCATAAAACAGGCTAGTTTGATCACAGAAGCCTCGACAATCTATTCTGCTATATAACTCTCCACTTGACCATCTCCTACGGCTGCCTTATCCTAAAGGATCACAGAACTCCTTTTATTGGACTTTAAAATTGCGGTCAACTTGGTAAAACAGTGTGATTCATGGATGAACTAAAAATCTGTTCTGCAGTTCCTCTGGTTGCACAAACCAGATAAATGAGACACTGAGGAACATTGAAGTGAAATGACTTACCCACGGTTGCACACTAAGCCAATGGCAAATTTGGAAAAGGAACTCAGGTCTGTCGTTAGCCCACTGTTCTATCCATTAGTCCCAGTAACGCAGCAGTGGTAGAATAGGGAAAAGTACAACTTGGCAGAAGGTAGGAGTCTGTTTCTTAAATGTCACATTTTCCATCACCTCGGATTTGAAATTCAACGTTTCTGGTGTCAGTACCTTTTCAGAGTACGGGGCAATGAATAATGTAACAGTGAAGAGCCTTCCAAATATAGAGGATCAATGAAGGTCAGAGCAGTGTACTTCTTTTCTTTGACTGTTTAGGAAGCTGGTCTCCATCCCTCTTCACTTTTGCTCTTGTTAACCCTGTTAAGTCCTAGGCCATAGGTTAAGGTGTGAACCTTGCAGGGACTGGTAATGTACTGATTAGTCTGAAGTGCCTGCCTCAAATGGATTTTTAGACCACAGTGCATATTAATGTTGAACAGCATGTAAACCTCGTCATTCCCTCTCAGGGACAATTCACAAATGACAGATATTTTCCTGATAGTTGGGGATTTTTCAAAATATTCTTTCTCAATTGTAATTAACCATCCTATATTCAGTAACACAGACAACTCCAAACCCTTCATTTCATCCTCCATGCCTCTGCGCTGTGGCTATAAATGAAACAACCTCCCTTTTTTCCATGTGCCAAGCAACCATGTTTTCCTCTTCCTCCTCCAATCTCTTTTGGCTAGTCTTCCCATCACATTGTTTGCTCTTGTGCCTCATCTGACCTTGTGCTTGGATGGAATGGACTGAATGTTGTAAGCAAGACACGAGCAGTAACTCTTCCCCTCCGGGCTGATTAGGCCTCAGCTAGAGTATTGTATCCAGTTCCGGCTGCCCCATTTCAGGAAAGATGCAGACACACTGGAGGAAGTTCAGAAGAGAGTAACAAAAATTATTATAAAGATCTACAAAGTATGACCTATGAGGGAAGATGGAAAGAAGTGTTTAGTCTAGAGAAGAATGAGGGTGGACATAACGCTTTTCAAATACATGAAAAGTTGTTAGAATAGTATGAAAATGTGTTCTCCTTAACTTCTGAGGACAGCACAAGAAGCAATGGACTTAAATTGCAGCAAGGGAGGTTTAGGTTGGACATTAGGAAAAACGTCTTACCTCTCGGGGGTTAAACATTAGAATAAATTGCCTAGGAAGGTTGTGGAATAACATAAGAACGGCCGTAGTGGGTCAGACCAAAGGTCCATCTAGCCCAGTATCCTGTCTACCAACAGTGGCCAGCACCAGGTGCCCCAGAGAGGGTGGACCAAAGACAATGATCAAGCGATTTGTCTCCTGCCATCCCTCTCCAGCCTCTGACAGACAGAGGCCAAGGACACCATTTTATCCCCTGGCTAATAGCCTTTTATGGACCTAACCTCCATGAAATTATCTAGCTTCTCTTTAAACTCTAGTCCTAGCCTTCACAGCCTCCTCTGGCAAGGAGTTCCACAGGTTGACTACACGCTGTGTGAAGAACTTTCTTTTATTAGTTTTAAACCTGCTACCCATTAATTTCAGTTGGTGTCCTCTAGTTCTTCTATTTAGGGAACTAATAAATAACTTTTCTTTATCCGCCCTCTCCACACCACTCATGATTTTATAGACCTCTATCTCAGTCTCCTCTTTTTCTAAACTGAAAAGTCCCAGTTGCTTTAACCTCTCCTCATATGGGACCCGTTCCAAACCCCTAATCATTTTAGTTGCCCTTTTCTGAACCCTTTCCAAGGCCAAAATATCTTTTTTGAGGTGAGGAAACCACATCTGTACACAGTATTCAAGATGTGGGCGTACCATAGTTTTATACAGGGGCAGTAAGATATTCTGTATAAAACCCATCACAGGAGGTTAAGAACAGGCTAGAGACAAACACCTGTCATGATTGGCTTAGTAGTTTAGTCCTGTCTTGAGTGCAGGAGAGTGGACTAGATCAATGGTTCTTAACCTGCAGACTGCCAGAGGGGTTCTCCTCTTCATTTGAAACTTTTTAGGGATCTGCAAATGAAAAAAGCTTGAGAACCACTGGACTAGACCTATTAAGGTCCTTTCCAGTCTTATGATCCTATGACTGGTAATTCTGGCTAAGACTAGACTGCAAACCTCTTTCGAAAGAGGCTTTTTCGAGAGATACTTTTGAAAAAGTGTCTAGACTACAACCAGTACTTCTGAAAAAGCAAGCAGGCAGTCTGGAGGCTCTCTTTCAAAAAAGCCCTGTTTGCATTCAATAACGCCTTTTTTCAAAAGAGCACTTTCGAAAAAAGGTGTTCTTCCTCATAAAATGAGGTTTACTGCGGTCGAAAAAACTGTTGTGTTCTTTCGATTTAATTTGAAAGAGCATGCTGGCAGCCTAGATGCAGGGAAGGTTTTTTGTTTTGTTTTGCTTTCTAAAAAAGGCCACTTTTAAAAAAACAAACAAACTGTAGTCTAGACACACCCTCTGTGACCTCTTTATTCATATTTAAAAATGGAGGCTTTTGGTGAAAGTGCAATAAATGCCAAATGCTGCATGTGATTATGGAATAAACACACTAGCTGGAAGGTTTTAAAACAATAATAAAGCCTGTGAAATAACTAATGCTGGTAAGTTTAAGCAGTGTCATGAGTTGAATGGGTTAATATGAAACAGCTATTTTTTTCCAGTTTCAGATTCAGGAACACACTTCAGTTTGGGTTTCCATTCAGTTGATTTTAAGTTTTTAAGATGGGATTCTCAACCATGAGGATTGGCACCAACCTTCTTTTTCAAACAAAAATAGAATCTTGAATTCAATTCTGGACCATGGTTCTGTAGCCTGTGCCTTTAATAGACCAGAATCTAAGCTACTATTGAATCTGGCAGTAACAAGACTTGCTATGTTTAAATAACCCAATTCCTATCACCTTTGTTACATCTCTTCCTTTATTTATGCTTTGTCTAACGCTAGAAATGTCTTTAGGCAGAGACCTTATTTACCTTTGATTTCGTTTGCTATGCTGAACACTGGAGTAAGGTGCTACAGGACTCCTTGTTGTTTTTGCAGATACAGACTAACACGGCTACACCTCTGGGACTTGGGGATATATGTTTAAATTTGATATTGCCAGCGTAATGTTACTCAGGAGAGAAGAAACACAGATTCTGTACCTTTGTCACAATGCAGAGGTGTCTGCTGCAGAGTTTTCTTGTCCATTCCATTTTTTGTCCAGTTCTCCCCTATTAATAATTACAACCATTATGTCTTCACAAATAACCCCATAAACTTCATATACCTCACGTAGACCCACCCCTCTTCCAAGCACTTACTGTGCCTCTGTAGGAAGAAAACAGCATCATGGTATCCTTGGAGATAAAACTCGTGTAGCACCTGCAGGGGAAACCACTCAGCATTAAAGGATGGTCAGTTCCAAAGGTTTATGCCTTGGAAGGCAAATAGAACCTACACAGATTTTTTTCCTATGGCATGTGATTTTTTTTTAAGCTAATGGTGATTTGGGAGGGGAGTTTATGAGCCTAATGAGCTTGGGATTGGCAATACAGGAACAGTGTGGCACTGTGCAGTTTCTTAGGCTACTCACTGGAGGACTGGGTGGGCAAATACTATAACTGAGCCTGCTCAAGTTCTCAGATGAGAGCTGGAAGGTGCTTCGGAAGAAGTTGATGCAGCTGAAATAGGCAGGACAGTCCCGGGGGCAGATGTCGACTTCTCCAGTGTAAGGGGATATTGTGATGATGGTTTCTGAGTCAGAGCCAGGCTGCATGTTCGTCATACCTCCATCAACGTAACGCTGAGAAGACACGGAGTTTGAATCAGATAATGGTTCATCGTCTGTGAGGATCACAGCACTATCTCATGGGCAGGCCTTAACAAAAGAGCCAAAGCCCATTAGGAGATTGAAATCACAACTTAGACATGTAAAATAGGAAAGTATGGGCCCAGTTTTCATTTACATTAAGGCTGCTTAATACGGGTGCAGATCACATTTATGCCCATTTTAAGGCCCATCTGCACTGTCTTAGTGCAAATGAGAATCAAGCCTTTATGTAGATAACGCCATTGAAGGAAGGGTAGTCTTGTGGCTAAGGCAAAGGATTGGGATTCATCAAAGAGACTCAGGGAGTGGATCAGCACAGTTCCATTATGTTTACTGGAATTACCCTAATTCACAACTAGTGAGACCATGGTCCCTAAGTCCTAGATGCCATTGTGTTGGCCTGGGTTCAGGACAGGTCCTTATCTGTGCACTGCACATGAATACAAATTTGTGCTAGCTGGGCGCATGGTAGGGCTAATGGCTCCAGCATATGCAGGTTTCATTTACACTTTTTGCCTCTTCCGCCGCTTCTAACCAACTGGAAACTTGCATCAGACCTAAGGAGCATGAAGTCCCATGGACTGAAACTGACAAAAATGCTTTTTGGCAAAATAACCCGCAAGCCCCTCAGGCAGTAAGGGCTGCACACAACACCTGCATGCCGAAGAGCTGTGTCAGCCCACTGTTTGGTGGGCCAGTAATGTTCCCCACCAGAGAGTTGGCAAAGGCCACTCACCACGCCTCTGAAGGAGGGAGGGCTCCAGCCACAGATGACAGGAAGGAAGCAGCTACAGATTAATGCCTGTGAGGAGAGAACCAGAGAAGCATTTTAGAGGCTCAAACAAGAAACAACGTGTCCCTCTGAAAATGCTGCACCTATGGCACAAGTAACTCCATAAAGTGGCATGATAAGGCAGCGTAAAGGGGGAAATGGGTTGTCTTGATGCTGGGCCATTGCCAGCAGTTTACATGCAATGTCTTTTGCTGCTCTTGTGTTAGTTAGTTGCACTTCCCAGTGGGCCAGGAAAGGGGCAGGTTATTCTCTGCCACGGATTTGTCATGGGACTTATGCAAGTCACTTCCCTCTTCTGTGCTTCACTTTTTCCTACCTGTAAAGTGGGCATAATGAAGCTTTACTTCCATATGGAGCTAGCTCTAAGGCATTGTCGCAACCGAGTCAAAGGAGGACTGAATTTCAAGAGGTTATTAAAGGTTTTGTTTATCAGTCTGTTTCAGAACCTCCTCTAATGACACCTTAATCTGGGACAGTTCCTCAGATTTGTCACCTAAAGAGAATAGTTCAGGTTTGGGAATCTCCCTCACATCCTCAGCCCAATGCACAGAATGTATTTAGTTTCTCCACAATGGCCTTATCGTCCTTGAGTGCTCCTTTGGAATCTTGATTATCCAGGGGCCCCACTGGTTGTTTAGCAGGCTTCCTGCTTTTGATTGCTTAAAAAAATTGCTGTTACTTTTGAGTTTTTAGCTAGCTGCTCTTCAGATTCTTTTTCGGCTTCCCTTATTATATTTTATACTTCATTTCACAGTGTTTGTGCTTCATTCTGTTCTTTAGGACTTAACTTCCACTTTTAAAATGATGCCTTTTTGTCTCTTTCCTACTTCTTTTCATAGAACCATAGAGCTGGAAGAGACCTTAGAAGGCCATCAAGTCCAGCCCCCTTGATTATTTAGCCACAGTGGCTCTTCTTTTGGTTCTCTTACTTTGTTTTTTAATTTGGGGTATTAATTTAAAGTAAACCTCTATAATAGTGTCTTTGAAAGTTTCCATGTAGCTTTCAGGGATTTCACTTTTGTCTCTGTACTTCTAATTTCTGTTTAACTTCCTTGTTTTCTGAAATTAAATGCTTCATTGTTTGTCTGCTGTAATGCTTTCCCCACCACAGGAATATTAAGTCTAATTATATTATGGTCATTATTACCAAGCGGTCCAGCTATATTCACCTCTTGGACCAGATTTTGTGCTCCACTTAGGATGAAATCAAGAACTGCCTCTTTTCTTGTGGTTCCTAAGATTTGATGCTCCAAGAAGCTGTCATTTAAGGTGTCCGGAGACTTCATCTCTGCATCTCATTCTGAAGTGACGTGTACCAGTCAATGTGGTTTGAAATCCCCCGTTATTATGGAGGTTTTTTTATTTATATAGCCTCTCTAATCTCCCTGAACATTTCATAGTGTCATATGTGTCAAGTGGCCTGTAATATATTTCTACAGCTATATTATTATTAGAGTAAGGAATTGCTATCCATAGAGATTCCATAGTACTGTTTGGTTCATTTAAGATTTTCACCATATTTGATTCTACCCTTTCTGTCCTATACACCAGCACAACCTGTTCTGTTTTTCCAATAGATTTTGTACCCTGGTATTCCTGCATCTCATTGATTATCCTCTTATGTGGCTTCTGCCTCCATCTCCAAATGGCCACTGGATAAATAAGTCAATGAGCATTAGAGCTGATGAAATATTCTGCTCATAACTTGATACACTTGTCTGGGGCTCAGCAGAGGGTGGAGTCTCCGTGGAACTGAACAGGGCTGAATTCTCCTCTCCCAGCCTACACCTGCAGTTTGAGCTCAGCTCGCCAGAGTTCCGCTGTCACTGAAACTCGGTTGTCTTTTCTGTCAGTCATCATCAGTTTAATTTCTTTACAATGCACAGGACACACAGCCCCCCTTACCTGCACCAGCTCCTCGTTCGACCTGTACTCCGACACAATGACGTTCTGCAAGTCAGACAGCCGCGTGAGGGAAACATAAAGTTTCCCTGATGCCAGCTGGTGTGAGTTCTCCGACAGCACTTTATGTATCCCCTTCTCGATGATCCGAAGTATCCGGTAACCCGGACAGAGGATGAGAATACTTGCTTTCTTGGTTTCCTCGAGAGCTTCATAAAACAGTTCTTCTATCAGACCTGGGAAGGAATAAGGATCACTCACACTCCTCAGCTGTTACAAAGGAACACACTCTAGTCTCATGGCCTGATAGCAGATGCTACCATGATGAGAGCCTATTGAATGGAATATTGTAAAGTTGGGAGACTAGAACGCTACTGTGCCTTGTCTTGGAGCAGACCCTAGAATGCCCAGTCCAAGGTTCCACGGCAAAGTGGTGGTCACGCGAGTAATGCAGTGGTCCCTGATCCAAGATGCGTATTGCCTAAGGTTAAGCGAGTGAAGGGCTGGGTTGTTCGCATACAGAATTTGGCTCCCCCACCTTCCAGTTAATTTGATACCTGGATAACTTAATAGTTCATTTAACTGGATCAGAACCCCAGATGAGCTGAGCCCAAGTATTTACACAGATCCAGAGTCAAAATGTGCCAAACAGTCCCATCTGTGACTCCTTCCTCAGTGATGTGCTCGGTAGTATCCACTATTGGCCCACATGAATTATTATTAAGAACCTGATCAGATTATCGGGGCACGTGCAATCTTACAGTGCAATCCATTCCCCCCCCCCCCCCCCCCCCACCCCC